CCTATCACATGCTACAACATAGCTGAATCTTGAAGACAGTATTTTAAGTGACATAAGCCAGGCACGAAAGGACAAATACTGTATGATTCCACATATATGAAGTACCCAGGGTTGTCAGATTCATAGAGACAGAAAGTAACTGCCAGGCACTGGAGGTAGGGGAAATGGAGAGTTATTGTTTAATGGACATAGAATTTCAGTTTGGAAAGACGAAAAAGTTCTGGAGAAGGATGGCAGTGATGTTTGCACAACAGTATGAGTGTGCTTAATGCCGCTGCACTATATACATAAAAATAGTTCAAATGTTAAAAGAATATACATTCTGGCTACTGTGTGGTGAAAAAATAAGATAGGGAGAGGCAGTTAAAGTGAAAGCAGGGAGCTCAGTTGGGAGGCTACTGTTGTACCAGGGGAGGGATGGTGGTGGTCTGGTTGGAAGTTGTGGATATGATCAGGAGTGGTTAGGTTCTGCATATTTTTTTAAGGCAGAGCTTAACAGATCTGTACTGAATATAGAGTGTGAAAGAAACAGAGAAATCAAGGATGAACCCAAGAATACTAATAACTGAGAAATAATACTGAAATAAAGAAGATCGGGGGGGCAGCAGATTGGTGCATCATCCTGATATGCCAAGGCTGTGGGTTTGACCTCCAGTCAGGGCACATACAAGAAGCAACCAATGAGTGCATAAATAAGTGGAACAACAAATCGATATGTGTCTCTCTCTCCCTCTCCCTCTCCATTTCCCTCTTTCTCTTTTTTTTTCTCTCTCTCTCATCCTTTCTCCAACTAAAAATCAATAAAATAAAAAAAAAATAAAGAGTTATCAAGGTTTGTAAAGCCAAAAAGCTAGCTGAGATCAGCTGGGAGAAATTGTGACCAGAGTAAAAAACAGGGCCCACCACTTAGCCTCAGGCCTGCCAACATTTAGAAACTGGGAAGAGAAGAGGAGGGAGAAAAGGATACAGAGTGAGTTGCCAGCAAGGAAAAGGAAAACCAGAAGGGAGGAGTGTAAAGAAAGAAGTCAAGGAGGAACATATCAGATGTGTCAAATGCTGCTGATAAATTACAGAGGATGTAGATGAGAATTGGTCATTGTCTTTTGCAAGGATGGTGAATTTTTAAGAGCAGTTTAATTACATGCTAGAGAAGGAATTTTGCCTGAAACAAATTGAGGAAAGAATGAGAAGTGAGGAAGGGGAGACAGCGAATAAAAGCAATTCTTCTAATGAGTGTTGGTAAATAAGAAAGCAGAGGAATGGAACAGTAATCATAACAGGATGGGCAGCCTAGGAAGGCTTTTTAAGATGGGTGAGTTTACAAACAAGCAAGCAAAATATAACCAAAGACACTGAAATTGAGAACAGGCTGACAGTCACCAGAGAGGAGAGGGAAGGAGATAACGGGGGGGGGGGGGGGGGGGGGTTGCAGGAATAATTATAAAGGACACATGGACAATAACAAGGGGGGTAGAAACAGGGGAGGGAAGTGGGGAGGACTGGGGTGGTGGGGAGGGTTGGGGGGTAAGGCAGAAAACTAATTTAAAATAGCAATAAAAATAATGTTAATTAAAAATGATAAAAAATAAAAATAGTCACAGGATGTAAAGTACAAGCATAGGGAATATAGTAAATATTGTAATAACTATATATGGTGTCAGATAGATACTAGAACTGTTGGGGTGATCACTTCCTAAGCTATATAAATGTCTAACCACTATCTTGTACACCTGAAACTAATATAATATTGTATGTCAGCTGTAACTAAATAATAAAATTTAAAAAATGTGAAAAAAGAGATGGATGAGTTTAAAGTATGTTTGTAAACTGATGGAAATAGTCCAGCAGAGAGAAAAAAAATGATGTTGCTGGAGAAAGAAGGGATAAGTGAAAGAGCAAAGTTTCTCCTGTCTGGTATATATAGCTCAGTGGATTGAGCACGAGCTGAGAACCAAAGGATCGCAGGTTCAATTCCCAGTCAGGGCACATGTCTGGGTTGCAGGCCAGGTCCCCAGTGGGGACCATGTGAGAGGCAATCACCCATTGATGTTTCTCTCTCTCTCTTTCTCCCTCCCTTTCCCTCTCTCTAAATATAAATAAATAAATATCTTTAAAAAAAAAACCAGAGCCAAAATTAGTTGAAATATATATGAAAGAAAGAGCAAAGTTCCTAAGTGACTAGGAAGAGAGGAGTCCCAGGTTAAATGTGGAGGCACTGACCTCAGATAGGACAGTTCATTTAGCACAGGGAACTGGTTGAGAGAATGAACTCTGAAGCCAGACTACCTCCTTTGTAACCTTGGACAAGGATAACAATAATACCTAACTCATTCACACCTGTAAAGGACTCACAACACCACTGGACGTATAGTTAAGTCCCATATATGCTGTTATTATTGTAATAGGAGGTAAATCAGAGCCTACAGGTCCAAGTGCAAATGCATTGGTAGATTTAGTTGTGGGAATACATGACTATTCTTTGCTGATTGCTCCTGATTTTTTTTCCTGCATGGAAATAAGCAAAGTTATCAGTTGAGAATGAGGTGGGATGGGAGAATATTTCCTGGTAATAGTAAATTTGTTCACATGCTCTTCCTAAATTCTATAAGTAATCATGAGAATTACAGAAAAGTTGAAAAATGCAAATAAAGGACAAAGAAAAAACAAACAACTCTTGAGGTCCCATCACCCAAACAGAATAGAATCATTATTGTTAATATTTTGCATTTTTCCAAAAATTTGTCCATCAATTTTTTTCTAGGTATAGACCTCTTATTTAATTTTTTTTCAGAGAAACATTGATTTATTTTTCCACTTATTTATGCATTCCTTGATTGCTACCTGTATGTGCCCTGACCAGAGATTGAACCTGCAACTTTGGTGTATTGGGACAATACTCTAACCAACAGTCACCAGGCCAGGGCTAGGTACAGACTTTTTAAATTAATGAGTAAATACAGTTGACCCTTGAACAACATGAGTTTGAACTGTGCGGGTCCACTTACAAGTGGATTTTTTTTTTTATGAAAAATATCTGTACTGTTTTTGCTCCACAGTTTGGAGTCCGTGCGTGTGAAGGGCCTAGTGTAATGCATCGATCTATATGCCATTTTATATAGGAGGCTTGAGCATCCTCAGATTTAGGTATACACAGAGGGTCCTGGAACCAATCCTCCACTGATACTGAGAGACAACTTAAATTTGGGGGCAGTGCCCTGACTGGTGTGGCTCAGTGGACTGAGTATAGGATTGCAAAGGGTCGTGGGTTGGATGCCCAGTTGGGGGACATGCCTGGATTGTGAGTTAGGTTCCCCAGTGTGGAGCACATAAGAGGCAACCACACATTGATGTTTCTCTTCCTCTCTTTCTCCCTCCCTTCCCTTCTGTCTATAAATAAATAAAATCTTTTTAAAAATTGGGGGGGGAGTAAAAAGTTATAAGCGAATTTCAATTATGTGGGGGTCAGTGCCCAAAATTCCATGTTGTTCAAGGGTTAACTGTATTTAATTTTAATAGACAAAACATACAAATAGGCCCTGGATGGTGTGGCTCAGCGGACTGAGCGCTGGCCTGCAAACCAAAGGGTCGCCGGTTGGATTCCCAGTTTAGGGCACATGCCTGGGTTGTGGGCCAGGGCCCCTGTAGGAGGCGTGCAAGAGGCTACCACACATTGATGTTTCTCTCCCTCTCTCTCTCCCTCCCTTCCTCTCTCTCTAAAAATAAATAAATAAAATCTTTAAAAAACATACAAATAGTTCAAAATTCAAGAGGTAAAAATGAAGGTAGATGGTAAAAAATCAGTCTTCTTCTCACTGTCCACCTGCTCTGTCTTCAGCCACACAGTTTTTCACCTGTAAGTACACCTCTATTCACAGACTTATGTTTTCAAGTTTCTAAAAATCTCATTTACATGCATATTGCCTCTCCAGGAGCATGGAATCACTAATCATGGAAATACCAACTAGGCAAACACTGAATTTGGTGAAGTAATCATATTTTATTGTAGAATCATGGATTATAGGGTTGAAAAATGATTTAGAGAATTATTTATTCGACTTCCTGAGACAATTAAATAAACTTTTCTAACTGTTCACAGTTAGGGGAGTCAAGATGATAATCTAGGATTTCTGCCTTTTATGTTACTGATGCCTTCAACACAGCATATTACAATATGCCCACTCAAAATTACAGCAAGTAAACATTGTAATGATTACCACAGCCCTCACTTTTTTCCTTATACTTATGGCCTGTCTGAAGTTTTGGAGATGGTCATAGCTGTTGTTGGTATTTTTAATAAGCTTTATTTTTAAAATAAAACAGTTTTAGATTTACAGAAAAATTGAGGTGATACAGAGTTTTTATACTCCCCATACCCAGTTCCCCGATTATTAACATTTTCTGTTAGTATATGTTTGTTAACTTAATGAACCAATATTGACTTATGATTACTAACTTTACTAAGATTTCTTTAATTTTTACCCAAAGTCCTTTTTCTATTCTAGAATATCACATTATATTTAGTCGTCTCGTCTCCTTAGGCCCCTCTTGGTTGTGATACTTTCTCAGACTTTCTCTATTTTTGATAATCTTGATAATTTTGAGGAGTACTGGCTGGGTATTTTGGAAAATATTCCTCTATTGGGTTTTGTTTGTTTTTCTTGTGATTATAGTTTGTTTGTTTGTTTGTGTGTTTTTATCCCCACCAAAGACATTTTTTTCATTGTGTTTTAGAGAGAGAAGAAGGGAGAGAAAAAAAACACCGATGCAAGAGAGAAACATCTATTGGTCATTTCCCATTTGAACCCAGGATCGAACCCGCAATCTAGGTATGTGTCCTGACCAGGAATTGAACCTACAACCTTTTGGTTATAGGATGACACTCCAACCAACTGCAAACTTATTTTTTATTTTTCAAATATTTTATTTATTTATTTTCAGAGAAAGGGGAAGGGAGGGAGAAAGACAGGGAGAGAAACATCGATGTGCAAGAGAAATGTCAGTTGGTTGCCTCTCACATGGCCCCAGTGGGGAACCTGGCCCACAACCCAGGCATGTGCCCTAGACTGGGAATCAAACCAGCAACCTCTTGGTTCGCTGGCCAGCGCTCAATGTACTGGGCCACACCAGTCAGGGCTACAGATTTTTTTTTTCATGTGACATTGTCCATCTCTAATAATTTATGGCATTTTCATAAACATCCTTTTTAATGATAAAAATCCCTGCTGTGTTAAGATCTGTGTGACCTTAGACACATTCCTAAATTTCTCTGAGCCCTTGGTTTCCTCCTCTGTAAATGCCACTCACAAGATTGTTATGAAACAGGCAAATAGGCTGTTGCACAGAGGCAAAATACAATGCAAAGTTATGTTTAAGATTATTTAGAGAGTGGCGTTTAATCTAGATTGGGGAAAAAATAGGCAGCCAGGAGGCAATTTCAGCAGTTGAGACTGCCAGACCCAGGAGGAAGGAAAGGGGGTTGGTGCCCAGAAGCAAGCCCTGCCCACACAACCTCAGGGGCACTTAAGAACTGAATGGATATGGGTAGGATGAGCTGGGCCCACAGGAGGAGACAAAAACAGCTTCCTTATTGGGATCTTCTGGGACCAAGAGAAACTTGGTGTCCTTGAGAGTCAGGGAAGAAGGGAAGGCAGACCTGTTGGTGAGGGGTAGGCAGGAGCTTGGATTTTGATGTGTTTAGTTTCAGGTGGTAGCTTCCTACCCAAGTGATGATGTCAGAGAATTAGAGAGCTGAGTCAGAAGGAAGGTGAAATCTCATAGGCTCTCCAGAGGCTAATCCTGGAACTCAAGAACAACCGAGCTAGAAAGGGGGCCAGAGATCATCTCAGTGCTCAATCACAACTGCTACCAGGTACTGTGTATGACCTGTCACCTTTGTTTTTTTACCTTGAATTGACCCTGCAAGCAGGGTCAGTGTTTTTATCCATACATTACACATGATAAAACTAAGATTTCCAAGGTTACTTAACTTTCCCGTGGACACAGAGCTAGCTGGTCACTGAGCAGGAAGCAATCCTGTTGCAGTGAAGTCAGGGCTCCCCCACTGTTCTTCTGGGGTTGGACAAGAAGGCCCTCAACCTGTTATTTGGCAAATAAGGAACCTGAGCCCTAGAAAGAGGAAATAATGTGCCCAATGGCACTTGAATAGTTAGAAACTGAGCTAGAGTTATAAACCGGGCACCTGTAACGAGACTGGCCTTGAGGGGCACCCAGTATTAAAGGAGTCTTAGGTAGGAAAGAAAAGCCAATAAAAAAAAAAAAGAAGAAACAAAGGAAGGAACTTTTCACTGCGGCTCACAAAGCCTTGCCTACAGTTCTCCGTGCCAGCTTTTCTCTCTCCCAGTCACATACCCCACACTTTTGCTACTCAGGTTACTTGCAGTTTCATGCTGCATCTTGTGATACCATGTCCCACTGGACCAGGAATGCTATGTTGCTCCCAATACTCCTGGAAAACTGCTCATTCAAGACCCAGCTCAAGCATCCTATGCTGTGAGGCCTTCTGACACGAGCTTCAGAAGAGGACACCCCCTCCAAAGACGCTGTACAGGACCCCAACAAAGTGAGTTGTGGGTCTCTGAGTACCTTCAGAGCAGCAATTTCATTGTATTCATCCCTCTTTTCCCAATGCCCTTCATGGGATCTCACCAAATAAAGGCTTGTGGAAAAGAAGAGAGCCAGGAGGAGCCCAGGATCACAAGAGGGGAGGATGACCTATGGACGTGGGGCCAAGGAAGCTGACTATCTCTTCCTGTGCACACCTGCCCTCTGTAGCTGGTCAGAACTACAGTGGACTGGATGTCCACAGAAGGATCCGAGCATTTGTCAACTGGGAAAGGCAGTGGTGAGGCAGAGCAAACAGGCCTATGTTCACCATATGTATGTTTGCATATAGATGACACAAAAACTGCATGTTTACACGTGAGAATGGTAACAGCCGGTTGAGGGTCCTGGAACAAGGGCCTTGCTGAACGCCAAAGTGGCAGATTCTCAGCTGAGGCCTACAAGGGAGAATGACAGTGGGGAGGAGTTGAGAGACAGTCTTCTGGGCAGAGAAGTGGGCAGCTATGTGAACAGCCCTCTGGGAAGGTGCGGGCCTCCTGAGGAGGGGCCAGGGCGGTCAGGCGCTGCAGTACACACTCAGCTGTCAGCCGTGCTTCCGGGTCTGCATCCCAACAGTCCTCTAGGAGCTCTCTCAGGCCACCAGGGTCCTGGGAAGAATGACCAGGGGGCAGGCTTGAATCCAGGATCCTGAGTGGTCCCCTGAGTAGTCCCCAAGTTTAAAAGGTGTCCACTGTCCACCACTCCCCTGTTTTTAACACTTCTGATCCTTCCTGGAGCAATCCTCCTCTCGCCCTCACTGAAATCCCGCCCGCTACATCTAGTTGCCTGAGACAGGTTCTCTGGGTGCCTTTCAGAGTGTCCCCTTTTCTGTCTGAGGAGTTAATTTGGGTTAATGGTTTAATATGTTAATGGGAAATTGCTCTCCTTCATTTCAGGCAAACAGGGTCTTCTGCAGACCAGTGCCTGGGTCTCTGTTACCTAACCCACCCAGCAAACACTCGTGCAGTGGAAATGTCAGACCAAGAAACAGGGAAGGGTTTCTCTGCTAGAACTATTTGTACAGGCCCCTGAAATTTCACTTTTAGGCTACTGCTTTACCTTTTTATACCTAGAACTTGCTCTATTGGGTCATGGCAGAAACACAGACGTGTAGGACAGAATGAGGAATTATTGGATTGAATTATTATTGGATACCAGTGTACCAGTAGAGAAGCCATCCTGGGGACAGAGCTCAGGGCAGAAGCAAAGCCAAGAAGGACTAACTCATGATAGGGGAGACAAAAGACAGACTGGGCAAGACTGAGCAAAGGGAAGGTGTGAGTCTCAGGAACGGTCTGTGAGGCTTAGAGTAGAAGAAGATGAACGGAGGCACAGAGAAAGTTTGCCCAGCTTCAGCTGGACATGAGCCAGGAGAGGTAAGAGATGAAGAGATAGGAATAGAGGAACTGGTCCTGGCAGACGAACCCTGGAAGCCCATGCCCAGACTCTCCAGGTTCCCATTGCACCAGCCTGTGGTCTCTTACCGTGGCAAAGCAGTACCAGGTGGGTGGGATGTAGGGACGTCTTCTCTCCTCCACTGCCAAGGTCCACAGCTCACAGGTAGTTGGGGTGCTACCCAGTTCTGCCTCATAGGCCAGTTGGAAGGGTGGTGGTCTACTGTCTGGGCAAAAGCACATAGGGGTACATGTCAGCTAGCACTAGTGGTACCTTCCTTGTGGAAAGACCAAGGAAGAGAAGGGCAGAGCTTCCTGGGTCAGGAGGTAGGTGGATCTGAAATGGATGGATGAGGCACTGGGGAAGAGAAGGGACTGTCGTACCCATCCTTACCAGGCCACACATCTGGGCAGCGGCTCAGGATCTCCCATAGGAGCAGAGCTAGAGAATAAACATCAGCTCGTCGGAGGGCTGTGCCCCAGTCCTGTAGATCCAGAGTCTTGTCCAAGAGCTCCGGGGCCATGTACCTCTGGGTGCCAGCCTGAAGAGAAAGGTGTGGAGGACCAAAAATCATCTCCTTGGCAAACTTCACTACAACACTCGTCCACGCAACATCCCCCCAACTACAGACTCAGCAGTGTCCCAAAAGTTGTAGCCACTGCTGTACTGTTGCTATAGCAATGGGCACATCCTCATCAGCACCACCACCATCATTCTAGGCCTCATCCTTATCCAGAGTACTCACCTCCATGATGGCAGCTGGACCTTGGGGTTGAGTAGGGGCCCAGGTTGAGGGCTGAGTGAGGCCAGGTAGTACCAAGGCAAGGCCCAGGTCTCCAATAGCACATGACCCATCTTCCCGAATGAGCACATTTTGGCTGCTCAGATCTCGGTGGGCAATACCGGGTTTATATTGGCCTGTGGGAAAAGCCAAGGTTGAAGGGGATTGGATCTTGCTTTCTCTTTTGTCTGAATCCTTCCCCTCCAAGCTAAGGGAGAATCAGAAACATAGCAGTGTGGCTCCTGACTCCCATGGCTTCCTGCTCTCAGCTCACCCACCATCCTGCCAGCGCTCCTCATGGAGAAATGCCAGGCCCTGTGCCAGGGACAGTGCCATCCGCAGGGAACTTCCCCAGTCACTGGTGTTTTGGGTCAAGTAGTGGCACAGGGAACCCTGAGGAGAAATAGAGAGAAGGGGACACGCAAAGCTGATCCACCCCAGAGAGCAGAAATGAGTTGACAGACATCCTTCAGTGGGCCAACACACTGACTCTTCTAGGCCAAGATAACAGGCAACAGAGGAGTTAGAACGTATATCAGTTCTGTCAACCAAAAAAATAGTAACTCTAGTTCAAGTGTCCTGAGCACCGACTGTGGGCCAGGCCTCCTGTAATCCTCACAGCAACTCTAGGTGGTAGGTACTCTTGTCACTCCCCTTTACAGATGAGGAGCTTGACAGAGAGTTAACTGAGCTTGCTGGAAGTCACTTGGTGAAAGAGAAGTGGAACTTGAACCCAAACAGTCTGACTCTAGTCACTCACTGTTAACCACCTTATACTGCCTCCCAGAACTTGGGACAAAGACGGAAACAGAAGAGGCAGGGTGACTTGGCCAGGCCAGCCCTCGTGAACCACAGGGCTTTAGGTGGCAGGTGCACATGGGTGAGCTGGCCGATGGGCAGAGCTGTTGGGTAGGAGAGCGGCGGTTGGGGAGCAAGTAGGAATCTTTAAGAAAGGAGCAAGAATCTGTCATTCAACAAACATTGAGCACTTTCAATGAGGCACATGGTCAAAGAAGGAACTTTCTAGAATTCAAGGTTTCAGAGTTGGAGAAGCTGTAGGTGCTGATAAAGTCCAAGTCCTTACTAGGCCCACAAGGCAGATTGTAGTCTGGCCCCTGCCTGCTTCTTCCTCTTCATTCTTACTGCTCACTGTCCTCCCCTCAAGTCACGTCTGTATGTTCTTCTCTTACAGTACCATGGCTGTCTCTTTCGGCACCTAAAACACTGGATATTTTACACTTATTTTTGTGTTTACTTGACCCACTTTGTTCTCCCCTACTACTCCATAAAATCTGTAAAGGCAGGGTGTGTTTTTCCTAGCACTTAGCACAGTGCCAGACACATAATTCATAAATATTTGTTGAATGAATATATGAATGAATTTGGAAGGTTATGCATCAAGGTATTTCTTTAACAATGGTTTTCCTTAAGGTACAGAATATAAGTGGTTTTGATTTCTCCCTTTCCTTATCTATTTTCTGAGTTAAAAGCATTAGCAGGTATTTCTTGTACAATAAAAAAAAACAATAAAGATAATTTTTAATGTTTTAGAGAAGAAATTTAAAGCAGAATAATAAGCATGGACAAGGCCCAGCCACCATCCAGTCCCACACCTCCACACCCAGTCACACACAGGCAAACACACACATGTACATTTCTTGGTCCTCACCTTGGGGTGCAGCTCCAATACCAGCAAAGGCCCACAGTGCAGGGGGCCAGGGCCCCCCTTGCTGGCAGTGATAAAGCGGACAATGTGGTCATGCCGTAGGCCTGGCAGCTCATACAACGCTCTCTCAGCTCGAAACTGGGCCACAGCCCTCAGGGGGAAGGCCTTGATGGCTACTAGTTCGCCTTGCAGCTGCCCAGCCCACACCACTGCGTGACCTCCTTCCCGGATTACCTGGTGAGATATGGTGTTGGGTGTGGGTCTCAGCTAGTACCAGGGCTAGGCTTCCTCCTTAGCACACTCTCTGGGAGTGCCTGGAGGACCCTTCCCGCCCTCCCTGAGCACCTGGGAGAAGCACAGCTCAGGTAGCTCAGGCAGCTCTGCACTCCAGTCTCTGCCTGAGTCTGGCTCTGGCTCTGGCTCTGGCTCTAGCCCACCTCTCACTCTGTAGGCCTTTCCCTGTAGCAGGGCTGGGGTAGAGAAACACCCTAGGGTCAGGGTGCATAGGCATGGAGACTGGGAAGAGAGCTTTGTGGGAAGTAATGCGAGTCAGGTTGTAGAGGTCTCAGAACCATGGGAAGTCTGGAGAGGGGTCAGAACTTTGGGGCAGTGTCTTGGGGTCACAGGGGATGGATGGGACAGAATATACCCAAGATGATGTTGCCCAGCAGCAGCAGGAGGAGAAAGAGCCCCAGCAGCACCAGCACCATCCAGATGGACTCGCCTGGGCATTAAAGCAAGAATGCAGGCTGGATGAGCCCTGCCCCAAATCCTCTCTCTGCTCCTCTTCCCCTCCTCAGAGATCTTGTTTCTCAACCCACCCCCACCCTGGTCACAAGCCCCGTTATCTCCCAGTCACCAGGGCAACCAACTTCTCAAGGCCAGGAGGAGTGAAGCTTGGGATGGGGGTAGGGGTGAGAACTGGCCCTGGTTCTACCTCTCATCCTAACCTGGGCCCCAGCCCCCACCCTGGTTCAGTACCCCAGAGGGCTACCTGAGATGGCCTGGGGACCTTGGAAGCCAGGAGTCCCAGGGCTCCCCAGAGGAGGTAGATGGCTATAATTGGCATTGCAGAAGTCAGTGCCACAGGAGCAGGTGAAGAGAGTGGAGCTAGAGCTAGGCTGAGCTCGGGGGCTTGGGTCACACCGGGGGGACTCACAGCCTGGCTCATCACTGTCTCGGCATCCTGATAGGGTCAGATTGGGAGAAGAGGATTAAGTGAGAAAGAATAGGATTTAGTGAGAGCGAGCAAGAGAGATATATATGGAGAGAGAGAGAGAGAGAGAGAGAGAGAGAGAGAGAGAGAGAGAGAGAGAAGGAGAGAGAATGCATGCGATGGAGCAAGCATAATGGGGTCTGGGGATGAGAGGATAAATCCTTTCTCAGAGGCATCCTTTTCCTTGCATACGGGCTTTTCTTTCCCTCCACACACTCCATTTCTCCTCCTCTCCCTCAGCTGCCACCCTCAACCCAGAGTGTACTTGCCTCCCACCCTAGCTATCACCTGCCATATACTTTGCCATTCACCTTGCATCTCCACCTGTGCCAGGTCCTGGGTCAGGTTCCAGATCCCAAAGCAGCAGCGACTGTAGAGGCAGTGGATAACCCTGGGGGGCCCTGGTCCTGCATCTAGCAGCTTCCCCAGTGTCTTTGTGCTTCCCCGCACTCCGGGGGCTTCAAAGAACACACATGTCCGCCTGCTTGGGGGTGCTGTGGCCCAAGGTGGGGAGGGGGGAGGGTTCAAGATGAGAGTGAATGCCCAGGCAAAAATAGCAGCCACAAAGAGAGACAAAACATGTTTCATATCTCAGAGCCAGCATGGGAAAGCCACATGAGGAAAGAGTGTCAGCAGAGGCCTGGAACTTGACCCCCACCATGGGGACACATGGCTCTACCCTTCACCCTCACTCACCCACCCCACTCACCACTCTTCCAAAGGGGTGGCTGCTGCTTCAAGTGCCCCTTTTCCTCATTGGGTGAATGGAAAGACACTGCACGTCCCTGTAAACACTTACCTTGCACAGCTGCGGGAAACAGAACCCAAAGCCCCAGAGTACCCAGCATCATTTTGAAGGAGGCAGCAGCAGGAGGTGGGGAGCATGAGCCAGCACAGCAGCCCCTGGCCATAGCTCCCTTTAGATACAGGGCACTGTGGGGCTTCTGATCCCTCAGTCCCCAACTCCGCCCTCCTCCCTCTTCCCAGTCTCTGTGGGGGAGACGGCTGCTGTGGGGGAGAGGATGGGTGTGGGGAAAAGCAAGGAGAGAGAGGGAGGAGCAGAGAACCAATCTCATATCCTCCTCTATTCAGCCACCTCCTCTTTTCTTTGCAAAGTGAGAGAAGGGGGGCTTGGAGGCCCAGCTGAGAACCCAGTAATGCCTAACTTCAAACCTCTGCCCTTTGCTAACCCTGCAAGAAAGTACCGAGTGCTGTAAGCCAGGAAACCAAAGTGAGGTCAAGTGCACAAAGCCATTCAGCTGTCCCTAAGATACCTTCTAACCTTTATCAGGTCTCAGATCTACAGCTCCCTCGGCAGAGACAGGCTTCACAGTCCATACTAGAGTTGACCTCACTTTCCAAACTAAAGAATCAGAAATCAGTTATGTACAATTTCTCAGAGTTAAAAAAAACACACTGAAAATGTTATAATGCCCTGGCTGGCGTAGCTCAGTGGATTGAGCTCAGGCTGTGAACCAAAGTGTCACAGGTTCGATTCCCAATCAGGGCACATGCCTGGGTTGCAGGCCATGACCTCCAGCAACCGCACATTGATGTTTCTCTCTCTCTCTATCTCCCTCTCTTCCCTCTCTAGAAATGGATAAATAAAATCTAAAAAAAAAAAAGAAAGAAAATGTTATAATGGTAAATTTTATGTTACCAGAATTTTTAAAATCACTTTGAGTCACACACTGACCAAGTCACTATTATTGAGAAGGCAACAAACTTTTATTGAGCACCTATGTGGTAGGACACAGCTAGGGCTCTACATTTTATAATCACCTCATCTAATTCTTCCATTGAACTAATTATTACTTTCATTTTTAATGTCTGAAAGACCCAAAAATAAATACAAAACTCAGCAATAAGTATTTCCATGTAATACAGTATTTGAATATTTGAATTTGGATTGATAAAAAAAGACACCATTACCTGCCAGCCCGTCACTAACTAGAAAGGGAGGGTACAGTTCAAGCTACCACCACTAGAGGTCAGCAGACATAGGAGAAACTCAGGGCGCAGGGAGGGGGCAGCAAGAGCCACTTTTGACGACAAACATACATAGTACATCTCCTGTATCTATTCAGTTGCAGGGACTGTAAAAATGTGAAGGGAAGGCACAGGGTGTATAGAGGGATTGTCAGCATGATATGGAAGGAGAGAACTATGGCTTGTGCTGCATAGAGACAGGAGTCCAACTCCACCAGACTCAGAAACTACAGTAATCATTTCCACTGGTATGAGCAGGTGGCTCCTGAGAATTAGAGTCACTGGGACCAGTTCCTTGTTTCCCTGGCGTTCTGTCCCCCTTGTGGCTGCCTGGAAGCCCTTTCTTGGAATGATCTGGTTTAGACAAGGGATGAAGGTCTGAGTATTGATTCTCTGATTCTGGAGCCTTACTCCTGGGGAGACTAGATGACAGGAAGTTAAAAGTTCAGTAGTTGTGAAGCCAAAGCTGGAGTGATGATGAGGGCTAGAGGCAGACAGACAGCTGCCCATCCCTTTTTGGGACCTTCTGGGAGTCTGCAGGACCCAGCCAGTTAGATGACTGGAATGTACTTGGTTATAGCTATCTTCACCAGCTCTCAGATCAGATAAGTCTGGGGCTGAACAGGAGAGTGGGGGAGAAATTGAAGGTCAAATAACTTCTTGCGTCTGGAGCGTCTCAGGAGACTATCTCCTTCAGCAGGGAGCAAGGTAAGGATCAGGCAGGAAGGCAGAGTTTCCTCACCCAAAGCCTTGGATAACTACTTGTCTCAAAGATAAGCATTCCAGTCAGGTTTATGGGAAGTATACCTGCTCTAAGCAGAGTTTAGAGTTGAAATAGTGATAGGAGTAAAAATCTGAAAGCTAAGGGATTGGGAAAGTCCTGAGAAAGGACCTTGAGACAGGAATACAGGCTTCCTGGATAAAGATACACAAAGATCTTCATCAGAATCCCCTGATTAAAGTCTGCATTGGCCCAATAATTGATCTTCAACCCCACTGATCACAAGGCTAAAGAGAGTTGTTTATTCATTCAACTTAGAAAATATCTATCAGGCCCCAGTCTTATGGTATTTCATTAGGTGCTGGACCTACCTACAGTGATATGTAATTCCTGCCTTTCAAGAGCTCAGTCTAAAAAAGAAGATAAATCAATTAGCTACCAGAAAATTATGTATCAGGCCAAGAATATGAACAAGCAGCTAAATAGGAAGCTATATAAGAAGAAAGATCAAATAAGCTAATTCTGTCCAGGGTATAAAAGACAAGGGAAGAAAGATGCCCAGAGTTTCACAGAGAAAGGAATCTTTAAATCATCTCAAAGGTAAACACACTGAAAACAAGTAAAAAGAGAGTGAGTGTTTTAGGCAAAGGGAACAGCAAGAATAAACACAGAGGTATGAACACAACGTGTAGCAAAGGTGGTGTGAGTTGGAGAAAGGTGTATGAGATTTAAGCAGAAAATCACCCTAAAGATAGACTGAGACCAGATTGGAAAGGTTTCAATTCCATTATCAAGGAGCTTAGACCTTTCCTAAGAGTAAAGGATTTTAGGAAGGGCTCTGGTAGCTATGTGTAACATAGATGACTAGAGCTCAGAGGGGCTGGAAGCAAGATCAGTTACAAGATCTAAGCCAAAGTCCCAGGACAGTGGAAATAAAAAAAAAAGAGAGAGAGAGAAAGGAAAAACATTAGGTACATTGTATTAGTAATATTAACAGGATTGATAATGAATGTTGAGAGATGAAAGGGAGAATTGAAGAAGAAATGATTCTGAGGTTTCAAGTACAAAGGCTCAAGGGGTAGTAATACTCTTAAGTAAGATGAGGAACACAAGGGTTATTTCCTCTTCTTACATGTTGAGTATGAGTTATCCATGGGATATCCAGATGAAAATGTCCAGCCCTGGCTGGTGTGGATCAGTGGATTGGGCACTGGCCTGAGAACCAAAGGGTCACCAGTTCGATTCTTGGTCAGGGCATATGCCTGGGTTGCAGGGCCATCCCCTGGTTACACACGTGAGAGGCAACCGATTGATGTTTCTCTCCCTCTCTTTCCCTTCCCCTCTCCCTAAAAATAAACAAACTTAAACCCTGCTTGGTGTGGCTCAGTAGACTGAGCTCTGGCCTGCGAACTAAAAGGACACAGGTTTGATTCAAGGTCAGGGCACATGCCTGGGTTGCAGGCCAGGTCCCCTCTCTCCCTTTGGGGGCCTGTGAGAGGCAACGGATCATTGCATGTTTCTCACACATGGAGGTTTCTCTCCTTCATTTTCTCTCCTTCCCCATCTCTATAAAAATACACAAATTTTTTTTAATCTAAAAAAAAAAAAGAAACCATTTGGTAAATGATGAGAGCTGAGCAAATGGCCTGAAGAGGGAATAAAAGAAGAGTAAAACTGAGTGTAAACTACTTTGGGAAACAAAAGAACTAGATCAGTAGTTTGAAGAGGAAGCAAAGGTTTTTCAAAATGGAGGGAAAGGATTTTAACGTGCTAATAGTCTGACAAGAGAACCCAGGCAAGACTGAAAAGGAGAAAATATGAAAACAAAGAAATAGAAGTCTAAGAAAATGAGCACAAGTGACATGGTTGAGCTTGTAAAGAAAAAATGCTTTCTCCTAAAAAGCTGGTGAATACATTGATACTTGTAGCGACAGGAAAGGGAAGTTTGAGGAAATTCATGCTTCTGTTTTCTGCATAAAATAGGAATCATATCATCTGCTGAAAAAATGGGGTTAGTATTGCAATTAATGGCATCAGTCTCACTTGCCAGACTATGAAGTAGTTGGTTGCAGGGCCCGTTTTATATTTTATCTTCAACCTAGCTTAGCACCCAGCACACAGTAAAGGCTCAATAAATGTTTATTGAATGAATAGATGGCACTACTATTAAAGAAGGCCCATTTTAGGGTATAAAAAACCAAACCCCAAAACAATGCTCCTTCCCCAATAGTTAAAATGTTACATTACTGATGGCTACATAAGGAAATCAAATAGCTGAGTTTACCCATAGCTCAGTGATTGATAAAGTAGGCACAGGGTGTCAAATGAGCAAAAGAATCAGGAGTGTTGGTAGTTACAGTATAAAGAGTTGATCAAGGATTCTTAGGAAAAGGAAAAGAAGCTGCAGGCTGATGGAAAATCAGAAAGGCTGTCAAAAATAATTTGTTCCAGAAGGGGCTGCAATCCAGATGCAATCATGTTGACACAGGCAGGTATTAACTGAATGTAAAATATGTTAGGGCTAGACCTTGGTTCCCAAATACAATTCTCCAAATAAAAAGAGCCAAGGTTCCTTGGAGAAATGGCTGATTCTAGGGCTGGGGCAGGAAAAATACAAGTTGAGCGTGAAGCATCTTGTTTATCAGGACCCCAGAAAGTGCTCAGAAAAATAAGGGTATAGAAATATCAAAGGGACACAGGAGCCAACCTGAAAGCTTGCAATGACTTATGCTGGGACAATTCGAGCAACAAAAAATAATGTAGTATTGGATTATAACAAATTATAAAATAAATTTACCTAATATTTAAGTATTTTTAAAAAGTACACGTAATATAAATTAATGGGGAAGAGATAATTTCCTCACAGAATTTCAAATACACTATGTAGCTAGTACATTGAGGAAGCTTAATTCGCATTAAAGGCAGGGTAGATTTATTGAATAGCATCCAAAGAATAGGGAAAGAGAAACTGGATAAACCTAGCAAACACTACCTTAACCAAGTAATGAGGATTACCACCAGTAACGTTATGGGCTATCACATACCCCTTGGTAGGATGTGATGAGGACATTTCACCTGGGTGGTATATTTTTTCCAGGAACCCGTAAGATCAGGTTAATAATAATAATAAAAAAAATCAGACAAATTCAGACTTGGGGACATTCTACAAGACACCTAGGCAATACTCACAAAGACTGTCCTCGTTATAAAAAACAAAAACTGTCACAGACTAGAAGTGACTGGGGAGACATTTCAACTAAATGCAATGTGGTATCCTGGAATGAATTCTAGAACAGGAGGATATCAACAGGAAAACTAGTGAAATTCAGAGAGCCTGGGGTTTAGCTAATGTAATATACCAACACCAGTTTCTTACTTTTGACAATGTACTATGGTAATATTAACAATGGGGAAAACTGGGGAAGGGAATATGTAGAAACTTTTTGTACTTTCTCTGCAACTTTCCTTTAAAAGTATACCCCAAAACTGCTCTGACTGGCGTGGCTCTGTTGGTTGGGCACTGTCCCACAAAGCAAAAGGTCACCGGTTCAATTCCCAGCCAGGGCACACACCTGGGTTGCAAGTTTGGTCTAGTCAGGGTGTGATCAGGGTGCGTATGAGAGGCAACAGACCAATGTTTCTCTCCCCCACTCAATTCCCTCCCTTCCCTCCTCTCTAAAAATAAAATCTGAAAAAAAAAAGTATTCTAAAATAAAAAACTTACTGAAAAAGATGGTACTGCCTCTTCCTCTTGGACCTATGCATTTCTGTGAAGTCACAGCACACTGATTGGGTCACGACACCATTTACCTGGGAGTTAAATGTAGGGCAACTGTACTGATCAATATGTACAGGAGCTCAACAGCATAGCCAGAAACCTTTACTGGGTTCAGTACATGAAGTCGCAGCCATATTCTCCCCATTCCCAACTTTCTTAACACACCAGAGACATACCTTTTTATTAAAAAAAATTTTTAATTGGTTTACAAAGGAGCTACAGACTACATTGAAACTAATCTTTGTACAAAAAGGCAAAAAAAAAAAAAAGCGCCCCAAAACACCCAGACACAAAAGGTAGGAGGAGACACAAGAAAGATACAAAAGAGCAGGAAGAAACTGAAAGACAAGAGAGATTAGCATCATACATACAGAATGGGGGGGGGGGACCAAGATGAGAGAGCATTTAAAAATATTTCTCCACACAGCCCTGGTGATAATTGGATTGGAACCAACAACACAGTATGAATTATTAAGAGGTTTAAAAAGGCAACAGTGGTATGAAGACTGGTTATTGCCAGTGTTAAGAGAGAAATAAAGTTGGTTTAGGCACCAGAGGCTGGAGCAACGGCCCCCTCTCCTCCAAGGATGACAGACTTGGGAAGAGGAAGCAGGCCCTAGCAAGCCCTAGCACAGCTGCTATTGGCAGCTGTAGAAGGGGAATCCTCAGGTCAATCCCAGCATATTTTCCCCATTTTACCCCAAAGTCTTTGAGCCCTAGATTCCAAGTGAGGGCTATAGGATGCCATTGGGAGAAAGGGGTGATAAGAAATATGAAGACCTGCCCTTGTCCACACTGTTCAAGAGCAGTTGCTGAGAAAGTAGAGGGCTGAGCAGACAAAGCCCTTTCCATTGTGGAGAAGGCACAGTGTCATTCCTGAAGGTGAGAGAAACACACACCCCAGGAGAGGTATCAACAGTCATCACTACCTGCAGCTCCAGCTTAACCCAATTTGTTATGCCTTTTTTTCCTGATACTGAAGAAGTTGAGGGACAAATCACATCTCTCACCCAGCAGATGCAAGGCGGGCTGGAGTTGTTTGATGAGGAAAGGGAAAAATGGGACAAAATACTCATCTCTCTCAAATGAACTTTGTGGAGGAAATCTATTTGAGTTTTGGAAATCAAAGTTGGAGAAGACATAGGGGAGGAATGAATCCAGGGACACCCCCTTTTTTCCTTTCCCAACCTTCAAATCTAAGGCAAGTGAGCCAAATCTGGGAGAGCAGGAATTTAAGCTTCAGGCTGCTTAATGTCTTCCTGGGGGGTGGTGTTTAGGGAAGGCAGACAAAGAAAAGAAACAGGTCAACCTCAAAGCTGGTCTGCTCATCCTCCCAGAAGAGGTCTGTACCCCAGGAGGAAAGCCAAGAGAGGCACCGGAGAGAGCACAGGCTCCCAAACAAAAGTAAAGCAACCTGCCCATATTTTATCAGCAGTTTTCAAAAGCAGTTTTCCGGGGTTGGAGAAGTGCCATGTCCTCCTCCCTTTCCCCAAAGCCACTGCTGCCACCTTTCATCCTTGCACATAAGTTACCGGCTCTCTTCTAAGGGAGATGAAACTGAGATTTCACATTTTCCCTCCCAACCCCAAGAGGCTACCCAGCTTTGAACAGGGGGAAGGAGAGCTATGCAAAGGGCACCTCACTTGAGGCAGCTAGACTATCTTCATTTCCTTGGTACCTGGATCTCCAAAACTCGTTTGATCTGATCCCAAGGTCCAAAAGGCATCAGGGTACTTACAATTGAATGAAAACTTTAAGCAAGTAGCACCAGAGCTCCCTCAAAACATAACAGGGGCTTGATTAATACCCCCAGAAGAACCCCTCGAAAAGGATATAAATTTATTGCATCCTAGCAAAGATCTGCAGCTTCCAGTATTCATTCGCACAATGTGAAGATAGTAATACAAAATATATTCTGAAAGTCAAACATCTGCAGTTCATAGTGCTTTCTCAGATTTGTTAAAAAAATACAATGCTTAGTTTCCTATGTAGGATATATAAAAGCAAAAAATATATATATATGTATATAGTAGAAAAAAATCAACCAGCCATAGTAATTTACAGCTTTTGTCTCTAACCCTCCCCCGATCATAATCTTTACTCCACACTGCAGTCTATTCTTTCTGGGATCAAGGGTTCTATTATTCTGAACCAGGCTGAGAAATATCCATTATACTTAATTCTGCATAGCACCCACACAGTGCCGACTGGGAGGTCCCTGAAGGAAGATGGTGTGGGCTGTTACTGCTCCGGGTGCAAAGTGCGACAAGTCAAATGACAAGCAAATGAAAGTGAATGGGCAACCTGAAAGAACAAGGGAATGAGTGCTTTAATATTACCACTCCTCTCCAAGGTTTGGTCGTTTTTGTTAAAAATTAAATAAAAAAGGAACTCATGTAAAAAAAATTTAGAATCAGTATGCCTGTCAGTTACACTAATTTCTGCTGACTAAAGTTCAAAAAAAGGGATTTTCAGCAATAGCTCCTGACTCAAGGAATGTAGGCTCCAAACTTCCTGTGGAAAAGACGGGCTCACTGCTGCTGGGAGACAAAAGCAGAAGCTGCTTCAATTGTGGGGCCCAACAAGATACAGGGTCTGGAGCTTCCTTGGTGAGAAGAAAATAGGGCAAGTGGAAAGAATTAGATATAAATTCACTCATATTAATGCTAATGAAAGGGGTGGAGGGTAAACCAACATTCCATGCCAGAGAGAAACATCATTAAAATAACATCCTAAAAGCTTGTAGTCCTCAGCTTCAGTAAGCTAGTTTAATAATTTCATACTGGGGAAGATTCCATTCCTTCAAATGCTCTAGCAAAATACTGCAAACTCCAGTGAGTTATCCTGCCTCTTTTCTCCAAAAGATGTCTATGTACATGATTACAGCCATAAAATAACAGACTCTTGAGTTCTGCCCTTCAGGCAATAAAGGGTTGTGACATACGGCTGGGCTTGGATGACTTTTACTTTAGTATTAATTTGATCTGGAGAAAATTCCTTGCAATGGTTCCTGAGTGTTAAAACAGTATTAAGTCTGCAGAGAAAGGACAAAGTGGAATCGACTTTGTTTAGAATGTTAACAGTTATTGTACTGCAGGTTAAACAATGCACTTACCCAAACCCTAATTTGGATAGATTTTATATAAAAATATAGTAGAATCATAGCATCATCTGTTTGTAGTCAAGGTAAAAAAAATTATGAAAGGAACTAGGATTCTGCAATAGATGGTTTCACCTTCAAACACAATAGTTTCTTCTTTTAAAAGTGCAGTAGAATATCCCCCATTCAGATATTAAAAACAGTATAGGAAATGGAGTAGCCAAAGAACTTATATGCATGACCCATGGACACAAACTACGGTGGTGGGGAGACTGCTGGAGGGACTGGGGGTACCAGGTGGAGGGGGACAAAGGGGGAAAAATTGGGACAACTGTAATAGCATAATCAATAAAATATATTAAAAAAATATCCCCCATTCATAATTGTAACTAATTTAGCATAAGCAAAGAAATGACCTCAGGAACATACCTAGATTTTAAGATAGATTTCTAGGTAATGGGCCTGAAAGGCATTTTGATCTGAATTTATTTTCCAACAATGTTAAATATAATTTCTCATCTGTGTGTAGATATATACAGGCACGAACACACACTCACACACAGTCATACACAAACACTTCACTATCAGATCAGGGTAATTTTTTATTGCAGGTCTCTTTTAGTAAAGGCTAACAGAAAACCTATCCCCAACCTAACAGATTACACACATACACGCAGCCATTTCCACACTTCCTCACAGTGAAAAGCCCTCTGACAAGACACCAGAAGGTCAAGAGAGCCGATGTTTTAATGGCTGGGCCTTGAGGACAACTCTGGTTGCATTTAAATCTCAGTGCCAAATGCACTAAGAGTTCCCTGCCGCTATAATTTTTGGATCAGTCTCTTCAGGAATTAGGCCATGAAGAAAGTAGGATGGTTTCTCCTGATCTCTCCCATAAACAACAGTGGTTTTTGTTCTGGGCTATTGTTCCCATGATCATGTGCTTCCTTTTTCCTTAGGAACCACCCAAGGAAGAGATAAGGGAAAAGATCAAAGGACCACTGCCTTGCCACTAGTCCATGCTCTGGAGTTCTGCAGAATGGAAACCCGGAAGAGATTCATTGCCTGATGCTCCTTAATAACATAACGGGAAAGACACTACTGGGGATGTTCAAAAGAGGAAGCGTACTTCCTTTCAGAATGTGAACTCAGCTTATGTAAAATCAAAGCTTAGAGCCACCTTGGAAGACAGCTGTACAAAAGTCCAAATACTCCACTAACTCCTGAACTGGACTACTGAGTCACTTCTGCTTCTGAGCACATCATTTTCTTATTAAAAGCCCCCACTTATGACGTGACCATCTTTTGATAATTTATACAACTGATCCCAGATTATAATCTTCAAAGGATCTCTTGTACAATTACATAGAAAGACTTCTGACTCGTGATGCTTAGAGCAGCTGATGGAGTGGTGCCCTTGACTCTCCAGCACCAAGAGGGTGCCTGCGTCAGTAAGCAGTATTTTGAACACTTTCTCCACACACAGTTACTTCAAGCATCATCCTGGGCTTCAAGGTTTCTCCATTCTGCTGCTGGTACTTAAGACTTTAAAAGATTCACAGAAGTGCCTCATCCAGGGATCACTTCCAAAAACATGAAATGATCAAGTGAGAGAAAGGGAGACAGAAAGGATGGAGTCAGGAAAGGAGTGCAAGAAGCTGATCCCAAATAAAAAGACAAAATTAAGAAAAATAATATGTATGTATATATAAACTAAAAGCAGAGCATATGGATGCTTAATCTAGTGGGAAGCCAAGACAACATCTACAGAAGCTTGATGTGTCACAACAAGGCTCAGCCATAAGGAAATAAGGCAATATAAAAAAATGACCAAGGTATTTTGGTCATAGAATGGTCTCCTTCCTCCTCCCAGCCAACCCCTGCAAATGCATCTCTATATATCTTTTATATATATATATAATATAGAATCTGTTTTTTGTTAAAAAGTATTTCAATGATCATATATATTTATCAAGGCATGATGGCTTTAGGAAAGGGGGGGATCCATCATGAGGGATCTGAGAAGGGAAACGCAGGACAGGGAAGCTGGGTAAGAAATATAAGAAGAAACTGGGGTCAAACAAACTCTCATCAAAGGGTGGCACCAACAGAATTTTCACTGATGTTTTCCACTGCAAGGAGGCACTGATGCTATAGGTAAGTGCCAGGACCCCATCTCTTCTCTTGTATTCCTCCCCAGTTCTTCCCACCACCATGCATTTTAATGCCTCATGGCTCTCTCTCCCACATGTCTCTTGGACCCATGCTACCTTGCATCCCAGGGTTAATGGGTATAACCCATATGTCTCTGGCCCTGGGTGCCTGATCTCAGAAGCCATTGCCACTGATATTAATGGACTGCAGATCCGCCACCTGCATGACGTTGATGCCACTGTTGGCAAGACGAGCAATACCCTCTGGACAGATGGCCTCCATGGCTACCATATTGGTGGTAATAAGGGCTGAAGAAGTGGCAGCACCACTGCCTTCTGAACCTGCCCCACTGTCCAGGGGCAACGTGCCCACACTCAGGGCTACACCTGTGCCTCCCTTCTTATTCTGGTGGGTCTTGATATGCTTTGACAGGTGGTCACTCCTCATGAAGCGCTTGGGACACTCAGGGCAGGCAAATTTCTTCTCACCTAAGTAAAAAAAAGAGAAAGTAGATAAGAAACAAACATCTCAGAAAGTAGGGAGTACCTTGTCCAATTACTGCCTTCAAACTTTGTGAGGCAGAATATTAACTCAGTTTTAAAAGGTGATAAAAGCAAGAAAAACCTGGTGATAGGTTTTTGTAGGAAGAAAAATAGAGAAGGGTTGGGGAGTAGCAGTTCCTGGCCGTACACCTTCACACCACAAACCCAAGAAGGAGAAAGTGTCTGTGGCCCTGCATTCTCAGCCCAAGTCCCAATATTCACGCTTCCTGGACAAACTTAATTGCCCACACCTGAACCAAACATCCTGTGGGGAAGGGATACATCAACTGGTTTAAGCCAATCATGACCCATTCCTAGAGCTGGGGGTAGGGTCAAACCCACCCAAACCACGTAACAAAGAACAGAGACAAAGGGACTGCTTTCAAAAGAAATCTGGTATTCTGCGAGGAGGGGAATAAATAAAGAAAAAAAAAGGAAAGAAGGAGGGATGCCTGGTCCTCGGAAAGGAAAGAATATAGCAGAAAAGCCTGACAGGACTAAGACTAACAAGAATAATGGAACCCTTCAAAATTCCACTCAAAACCTAGTTCCGTCCTCCCTATTTTTTTTTTAATTTTAAAAAATTGATTTGAGAGAGAGAGGAAGAGAGAGAAAGAGAGACAGAGACAGAAACATCATTTTGTTGTTCCACTTATTTATGCATTCACTGGTTGATTCTTGTACGTGCCCTGGCCGGAGACTGAACCCGCAACTTTGGAGTGCTGGGACAATGCTCTAACCAACTGAGCTATCCCAGCCAGGGCCCCAGCTCCTTCCTTCTTACAGGTTTTCTAGATTAACTCCAATTCCACTTGTGATTCATACATTTAGTTCCGAACATAATTTGCTCATAATTTTTAGTAATTTCATAGATATATTTTGTGCCTTTCTATCTGGTCTATTACTATTTTTTTCTTCCCCAGGATCCCACTCACCTGTGTGCGTGCGTTTGTGCCTTTGTAGCTCATCTGAACGTGTGAAACGTTTCCCACAGTATGACCAGGTACACATGAATGGCCTCTCTCCTGTATGCCAACGCAAGTGTGCCCGTAAGTGTGAGGTCTTGCCATACACTTTGCCACAGCCTTGAATGTGGCAAATGTGCTGTTTCTTTTTGCCAGGATCCCCAGAGCCTCTGTAAGTGAAAACACAACTATTCATCATTCATTCCAGAGATAAAAATTAAATAACCACAAAGTGTCAACAGCAATTACCCCACCCACTCAAAACTAACCCAAATTTTCTTGTTTAAAGGCTTCTCTTTATTATCAAAAGATAAATCTCAGTCGACTCTGGTTCTTTTTTGTTTTTAAGGTTTTATTTATTTATTTTTAGAGAGAGAGAAAAGGGGAGAGAGATGGAGAGAAACATGAATGTGTGAGGGATACATCTCATGCCCCCAACCAGGGACCTGGCCCGCAACCCAGACATGTGCCCTGGCTGGGAATCGGTTCACAGGCCAGTGCTCAATTCACTGAGCCACACCAGCCAAAGCACGACTCTGGTTCTTACCACCCAAAATTCAACTTGTAGGTTTCCTCTCAACCAACATTTGCTCTTTTCTGTTTTCCTGTTCCTTATTCAATTTTGATGTTTGAAGAAATAATCATTCTCATGTGATTTCTTCTATTTAAAAAAAATTTAAGTCTCAATACATGCATTTTCCATAGAAACTACTGTGCATATGGTGGTATTTTTGGCTAGGACCTTGCTTATGACAAAAGGTCTCTCCATTTAAGCACTTTGTTAAGAACTTTAAGGAAAATATTTTACACCTATAAAACTTTTTTCCTAAAATAAAACTCAAGAGCCAAATGGTAAAGATTAAAACCTGAAAAGCTGGACCAATATCAGGGGCTTCAATGGAAGAGGAAGATGGGCTGAAAAAAGTCAATAAAGGACAATAAGAACCCTAACTAATTCAAGGTATGTAGAAAAAAAAAAAAAATCCCTGTATGGAGCAGATCCTAAGTTCCTCTCTCAGGGATCAGCTCTGAAACATTTTTGCTAAACCAAATTTTTCCATGTGTCATTCATTAACAGGCATTGGGGAGATTTCCAAGAGGGACTTTTCTTGGGTTTTAACAGCACATATTAGCAGAAAGAAAAAAAACAATGAAAATGAAATCACATTTAGGTGAGAATCAGAGTTCTTCAGAAATTTAAATCTACTTTAAGCTTTGTTAGAGAGAAACACTATTATACTCAGTGCTTTTTTAAAAAAAAAAATATTTATTTATTTACTTTTAGAGAGAGAAAGGAGGGAGAAAGAGAGGGAAAGAAACACCCATGTATGGTTGCCTGTGGTTGCCTCTCACGTACCTTCTATTGGGGACCTGGCCCACAACCCAGGCATTTGCCCTGACTCAGAATCAAATGAAGTGACCCGTTGGTTCTTAGGCTGGTGCTCAATCCACTGAGGCACACCAGCTCAGTGCTTTTAATTAAGCTTGTTCCTGTAATGTAGTGCTAAGCTATAAATAACTCAATTTATTTTTTGTTTCAGTACTTTTCTTATTTTTGTGCTTATTTTTATTAGGACAAAACTTTAACAGATTTTTTCCCCAAAGACATATAAACAACTATTTAACTTTCTATTCTCTCAAAAGCTGTGACTTGAAGGAAAAGAACAGAACTTGGAACTCTCCAGACACAATATTGAATAGCAGACACTAGTGCTGAGAAAATCAGTACTTTGTTCTGTAGGACATGTTAAGAGTCTCTGATGGAAGAATTTTCTACCTGGACTGGGCATTTTTTGTCTATTTTGAGGGAAGATAAGACTCTGGAAAACTCTTATTCTCAGACAGCCACTGTAAAAACACATTAGTGTAGGTATTATTTTCTCTCTGCAACACTGTTTTACAAGCAACCTTGTTAAAACCATCTCAAAAACAGACATATGGTAATAATCATTAGACCAGCTGGCTCCATCTGATTTCCTTATCTGTAGGAGAAAGCAGGCATCTATTAAGGCCCATGGTCTTAGAATTGATGAAAGAATCAGAGCTAGAACCATTAGATCCTATAATATAACCTAATCAAAAGTATTGTGCTATCTCTGATTGCTTTGCAATATTGCCAAGTCTTAAATGTCAAAAGAAAAAAAATAAACCCTCCTCTTACCTCCAAATCCATTAATTTTTCATTCTTTATTGTAATTACATTATATCTTTACATTACTCTTAAGATACTGGCTGGGTCAACTTACCTTCCTTCACTGTCTTTACAGTAGGGGCAGGTGCATGCTTCCCTCCGGGTCCTCCGACCAGCCTGGGGTTGGGGATCTGGGCTGTTTTCTCCTTCCTCTCCTCCTGCTGCATCATCATGTATTCCATCACCACTGGCCCCATGGAGGCCAAGCTGAGCTCCATGATCACCTGAAATTAAGAGTAAAGAATCAAGGTGGGAAACAGGAGAGGTCATCACAGCTGCAGGCATTTCACTGACTACATTTACAGCACCATTTCTTCACAGCTTTGAAGTTACATTCATTTGTATCACCCATACTTGAAATCTCAAGAATCGTTGCTGAAAATACAAAGAGTCAATTAAATACATGAAAACTGGGTCAATCTCATTCAAGTTTTAAAATGCAACTCTATTTATACTGGACTTTTGCAATTTTTCACCTCAGATTACAAAAAGTTAAAACTAGTAATGCACAGAATTGGCACGGTATGGGAAAATAAGTATTTTTACATATAGGTGGTGATAAATTAGAACAACCTTTTTGAAGGCAAATTTGGCTTTATTATTAAAAATTTAGCCCTGGCTGGTATGGGTCAGTGGATTGAGTGCCTGCCTGTGAATCAAAGGGTTGCTGGTTCAATTCCCAGTCAGTGTACATGTCTGGGTTGTGGGCGAGGTCCACAGTAGGGGGTATGCAAGAGGCAACCACACACTGGTGTTTCTCTCCCTCTCTTTCTCCCTCCCTTTCCCTCTCTCTAAAAATAAATAAAATTTGAAAAAAGAAAATGAACAGCTTTATCTTAAAATGTGGCATTGGTTAAGCAATGAAATAAATTAAAGATTTTCCTTTCCATGATGAAAATAACTAGTAAACCAAAGTTTAATGATGGTCTTGCCCAACCCAGTGGTTGCCTCTGGCATCAGTTTCTGAAATAGTTATGGCAGTTATGCACCTTTTCAGTTTCCTCAAAGTGAAAAAGTGTGTGAAGTCACAAACTTTCAAGAAGACCACCATGTTAAGTCAAACACCCTATCATTCTTCGAGAAAAAACTTGGTCAATACTAAAATGGAGTGAAACAGAAGCCTCCTCCATAATTTCCAAAAGGTTCCCATATACTCCCCTATTCATCTGAGCTCTGGAATAATTTCGGGAACATGTGTTCTTTAATTCAGCAAGTATTTATACAGTAAAACTAAATTTTAAAACTATACCTATATAAAGCATACACTGGGTTTTCTGAATATGCTTCATTTTACACAATAGATTTAGTCCATAGTAGTATATATCTCAGCCTATTAAGTATTTGTGTATCCAGCCATGTTAAAACAGAATACTGGTAACATACCACTTATATATGAGGAACATTAGGTATCCAGAATTCCCTGCCAGATCAAGAAAGAAAAATATCTCTAGGAACAGAAATAGATGATTCATAATACATGGTGCTGTATCTTTCCAAATAATAATTTTATTAATCTGGTTCCCCAGTACAAAGTGAATTAGACATAGCAATGTAGAGAAAAAGGAATAGAAAATTTGTACTAAAAAAAAAAAGAGATTAAGAGTTCTTTTTATTTTAAGATTTTATTTATTTCATTTTAGACACAGGGGATGGAAGAAAGAAAGGGAGAGAAACAGCAATGTGTGGTTGCCTCTCTTGTGCTCCCTACTGGGGACCTGGCCTACAACCCAGGTATGTGCTCTGACTGGGAATTGAACACGTGACCCTTTGGTTCACAGGCCAGTGCTCAGTCCACTAAGCCACCATCCAAGTCCACCAGTCCACCAGCCAAGGCTATTTTTTAAATACTGTATTTATTTATTTTTAGAGAGAGAGGAAGGAAGGAGACAGGGAAGGAGAGAAACACTGATGTGTGAGAGACACATTGACTGTTGCCTCACACACACCCAACTGGGAACATGGCCTGTAACCCAGGTATGTGCCTTGACTGGGAATTGAACTGGTGACCCTCTGGTTTGCAGGGTGGCACTCATTCTACTGAGCCATACCAGCCAGGGTGAAAATTTGTACTTTTAATGACAGAAAAACTGACAACTGGAAGTGACAAAATGTAATACCAAATAATACATATAGATGGTCCCCAAATTCATTGTTATTTTACTACTTGGTTACTCTTGAGATACAATTAATGTAGGAAAGAAAAAATAAATGCTTGATTCTGTCAATTACTAGTTTTCAAAATACAGTAGCTTGGTTTCCTAAAATCCTTGAAGAGTGACCAGCCAACCCTTGGCCAGGCAGCTCGGTTGGTTAAGAGCATCTCCCCAGTATGCTAAATATATAGATTTGATCCTTAGGGCAATACAAGAAATAACTGATGAATGTACACAAATAAGTGGAACAACAAATCAATGATTTTTCTTCCTCTCTTTATATTTAAATCAATAAATTAAAAACAAACAAAACAACAAAACAAAACAAAACAAAACAAAAAACCCTTGCTGGTATGGATCCATGGATTGTGCACGGCCTGCAAACCAAAAGATCACCAGTTTGATTCTCAGTTAGTGCACAGGCCTGAGCTGTGGGCCAGGTCCCCACAGCACACTGGGGGTGTGTGAGAGGCAACCAATCAATGTGTCTCTCACACATTGATGTTTCTCTCTCTGTTTTTCTCTTCCCCTCTCTAAAAAAAAATTTTTTTTAATCTTAAAAGAAAAAGTGATGAATCACCAAATTTTTCTTGAAAATCAAGTTTATTGAGATATAATTTACAAACAATGAAAATTTACCTTTTTAATAAATTTAGACCAGGGTTCTCAAATGGGGCCATTTTGCTCCCCAAGAGACATCTGACAGTGTCTGAAGACATCTTTCACTGTCAGGTCTGGCATCTAGTGCTGCTAATAAACATTCTATAATGAACAGAACAGCCTGTTCCCCCCACAAAATGAAGAATTATTCAGTTCAAAATTGCTAAGGTTAAGAAACCATGGTTTAGACAAATGTATACATATACAGTAAGTAGTATAACCACCAATACAAGCAAGATATAGAATATTTCCACCACCTCAAGTAGTTCTCTCACCCCTAAGCAGTTTTCTCTGCATCAACATGAACTCATGGATTTAAACATATTTGATACTTCAATCCATTGTATATTTTTATCCTTATTGATGCTCAAACTGTCCTATACTTGGCCATAGAGAAATACCAAGTTGGCTTGTGTATTCTATGACAAGCTATCCTATGTTTAATATTGATTTCCTGCTCTAAATCTAGGATTAGCTATTGTCAAGTATTCCTAGTTTCTTTTTTCTTTTTTTAATATTTATTGACTTTAGAGAGAGGAAGGTGGGGGCGGTGGAGGGGGAGAAGAAAAAGGGAAGAGAGAGACTGATTTGTTGTTCCACTTATTCAAATGTGCATTGGTTACTTCTTGTATGTGCCCTGATGGTGGAGATCAAATCCACAACCTTGGCATATTGGGACAATGCTCTAATAAACTGAGCTACCCAGCTAGGGCCTAGTTTCTTTGAATGGGAAATTAGTATTTGGATACCACAATCTGATTCTCTAGTCATTTTTAGTTATTTGAAACTCTAGTGAATTCCATAGGAAGGGATCATGTGAACACTATTTTCTGAATTCTTTTTTTTAAAGATTTTATTTACTTATTTTTAAAGATGTTATTTATTTATTTTTAGAGAGAGGGGAAAGGAGGGAGAAAGAGAGGGAAAGAAACATTAGTGTGTGGTTGCCACTTGTGCACCCCCTACTGGGGACCTGGCCTGCAACCCAGGCATGTGCCCTAACCTGGGAATTGAAACCAGCAACCCTTCGTTGGCCAGTGCTCGATCCACTGAGCTGCACCAGTCAGGGCTATTTTCTGAATTCTTATATGTTAGTATTACATTGTCTAGTCTTTAAATACTTGGAGGTCTATTTATCTGGATATAAAATTCTTGGTTCATGTTTAGCTTCCTTGATTCTCTTAAATATTAAGCCACAGTATTCTGACACTAAACAAACTGCCACAAAGTCTAGTGATACTCCACTTTCCTTCCTTTATAAGTGATTAGGTGCTTGTTGTTGTTTTTTTTTTTTTTTTAATGGATGCTCAAATGATTTTTCCCCCTTAAAATCTACTAGTTTTACTAGGCTATTCTGGGTCGATTTCCCCTGGTACACTGAGAAAGTTTTCTTTCTGTCCCATGGGTTTCATTTTCTTCCTTGAGGGCTTTGTTCACATAAAATTTGGCTCTTCATTGCCCATATTTTATGTGATTTTTCCCCCAATCTCTTGTACTTCTTTTTTATTTAAAAAGCCTCCCTTTTCCCGCTACATATAAAAATTGTGCTTTATTTTGTCTTTTTATTATGTGTTATGCTTATTTCTTTTTAGTTTCATATTTATTTCTAAAATAATTTTTTCCTTATTTCCATTTTATTTTCCTGAGGTCTGTCACTTCTCTTTTCAAATTCTCCTTTTCTCTAATCACCTCATTTCTGAGATTTTTCTAATTTGAATTTGTACTTTCAGTAACTTCTTTCATTTCCTTAAATTCTTTTAGCTCATTTTGAATTTTTCACCTATTTTGTGGGCATATTTTTTCAGGGTCTTTTCACTGTTGGAAGGACTTTTTTTTCTTCTTCTTTCTGCTGTTGCTAGTATCTTTTGCTGTCACAATTTCATATGGAGTCAGACTTATTTCTAAAGTAAAATGAGTTTTCTTGAAATTTTAGGGGCAAGGGGTAGAGCCAGGATGGCTTTTGTAATCTTCATAGCTTTAGAAATTCTTCTTTTCTAGTTTTTGCAAAGTGATTAAAACAGAAACAAAAAAACAACCATAACTCTTCATTCTTTCTGGTATCTACCCCTTTTTTCTCTGTCTTGCTCAAGGTGGATTCTACTCCTAGAAGTTTCCCCTCAGTGGTAAGTTTTGTGTTAGAACTTCATTTTGTTAATTTCAAAAGCTGTCAAACTCTATCCCCATGCCCTTTAGAAGCCCTTCCTAGTTTCACTTACTGTTCCAGATGTTCTCCAGTGAACATCTGTCGGTGATTTAGAAGTTCTCCTGCTCTCAGGGCAATGAGAAGCCCTGTTGCCTTCCCTCTGCTTCCTTCCCTTCACAAATGTCAGTAATCTGTAGATCTTATATAGACTTGTGTTTTTTGTTTTCAAGATAGAGAGAATGGGGGTGGTGAAAAGGGAGAGAAACAC